CTGTAAAAAAGTGGTCCATTGGAGTGAACGGAGATGTCGTAACTCTTCTATTATATGGCTCTGGATAGACCGATTCACGGACTTTCCACATGGTAAAAGTGGGGGGGTCTAAACTAATCATTTCAAAAAGTGGGGGGGACTTGTCCCACCCTGATAATGGCTGCGACGCCCGTGACTGTCGCTATTTCCACTATATTTTGATGAGAATACTTGTATACTTTTACCTGAGTAACATTTTGAATGCAGTACTTTTACTGTAACATAGTATTACTACACTCTGGTACTTCTACTTTTACTCAAGTACAACATCTGAGTACTAAAGCTAACGTTAGCAGATAGTGACAATGTGTGCTGGTTAGCTAGCTCAACGATTCCTTAAATAATATTGCGACAGAAAAACTTTTCAGTGCACATCACGCTCTGCCGCTCCGACAGGGAGCTCTGCTCTGAACACCTGAACGGCCCGTTCTAACAGCTGTTCACCAGCGGTCCAGTCTGTGCCACAGTGACTCCGGACCACACAGTTAATATTAACGAACGCACCCGTAGGTAATGTAGCTGCTGAAGCTAGACCATCTTCGCGGAGCAGCAGAGCCTTATTATACATCCATGAGCAGAGCCGACAGGCAGGAAGACTCGAGCACACAGCTCGCGCTTCATTATCATATATAAAAAAGAACACCATGCGTGTCATGATGGCACATAACAGCTCGCGGCTGCAGATTACTCCAGTTCCCAGACCCCCCCCCCCCCCCCCCCCCCCCCGATACCCCAATAATATTTTATTGCAGATCTACATGAATCACACAAACGACCTATTTTGGATTCAAAACGGCGAATTTCGCCGAAAGGTGACAAGTTTGCATCCCTGCTTGTTATCCTTTCATCACAGAGCTGGGAAAAATGGTGTATTGATTAGATTCTGATCCGTGCAAGTCCAATTTTAACTGACTTTAGTTCTAATGTTAATGTTAATTTGATTTCAACCCATAAGTAATTATTTAAATTAACTCAACATTTCCCATGATGGATTAGTGTTCCACATTTTCCCCACTGATTTGTTTGATTAGGCCAATGGTAAAGAGAGACATTGATGGCCCTGTGTCCCTTTTGTTAGTACGTGGTTCCATTTTGTCTATGGCCTTGGACGGCTTCACTAAGAGTCACCCAGTTCTGCCCTGCTACGGTCCGGCTGAGTGCAGTCACAGAGATGCTATGGCTGCTCTACATGACATTAATGGTCTGGTCCGAGAATGGACACCATTTCCTGCTCCCAGAGAGAATGACGCTCCTCAAACTGAACATTACAGCCGTTGATACTGTCTCACGTGGGTCTGCTCCCCCCCTTCGAGCCATGAACTGAAAGCTTGACATCTGTTTTGAACACTTGGAAGCCTCATTGTCACACCAGCACCAACCCTTGGGTCAGTCAGATGAGACTAACGGTTTCACTTAGGGCATAAGGGTCAGAAATATGACTATCGTTACCACAGAGTGTTTTTTTTTTTTTTTTAAGGCTATTCATACTGCTATGCAGAGGATGCCTGTAAGTTGGCGAGCTGTTAAAAGCCCCTACTATTTTAGTATAGGCCTAATGTCAGGGGCCTCTTACTGTCTAATTCTGCATGTATTCACATTATATGGACCACGTTTCCACCTGGTAAAACTAGAGGCTGCACGAAACTCAGGCTACAATACAACCAATTCTGCTCTGCTCTGACGATTCAATTTATAGATTCTACATCAAAACAGTTCGTTTTTATTGTTTCCAATGATAACGTCACCTTAGGTGGAGGAATGCAAACCTGTTTTCAAATGTAAGGTTTTGAATTTGTTTGACATTTCTCAGTAATGACACCTTCAGACGCCCACTATCATTCATGCTATGCCTTCAGTGGTAACTCAGATGTTAAGGGGGTTGAAGCTTTTCCTCCCAAATCGGCTATGCATTGTTTTTTTTTTAACAAAGGTATGCATTTCCTGCATAATATATGTTTCTCACAATTGTTTTTCGTAAGCTGCACACATACTGAGTCTTCTTGAGTAATGGATTATGACCTATACCATGCTTACATGGACTCGTATGTTTTATTTCATATCTAACAGAAGTAAGAGAGAAAGAGATGGGTAAGTGTGAGAAGAAAGACATGGGGAAGTAAGAGAAGAAAGACATGGGAAAGTAAGTGAGAAAGAGATGGGTAAGTGAGAGAAGAAAGACATGGGGAAGTAAGAGAAGGAAGAGATGGGGAAGTGAAAATAGAAAGAGATGGAGAAGTGAGGAAAGAGGGAGATGAGGATGAGAGAGAGATGAGTAAGAGAGAGAGATGAGGAAGAGAGAGGGATGAGAAAGAGAAAAAAGAGAGAGAATAGAGAGAGATGTGGAAGAGAGAATCGAGAGAAGAGGGAAGAGAGGGATAGGAAAGAGAGAAGAGATATTTGCGAGTTGCATACTGATACTGAGTCTTCCCGATTAATAGCTTATAGACAATAAATAGACTCTTACGTTGTTATTACATACGTGACACAAGAAAAGGGAGGGGAGAGTCAATTATATTGAGTAATTGATTTCATATTGGAACATTTATTTCTCAAACCTATGTTGTATGGAAGAGGAAATGTACTTCTGATAAACTAATCTTTTATCAAACGGTAAATGGTGAATTAATATAACATTTAGAATCATTGAGAAAGGGTTATATCCACAGGGACTAGCTCACCTTTAACTTAAAATAACATGTCTCTGCTTTGGACTGATGAGTATATGAGTCTTGCATGTTAAATGACTAACACAAACCTTACATTTATGCATGTGCATGTGTCAGGAAGGCTCCCAAATAATTCTGAGGGGCCTATCCTATTTTTGTAATTGAATGATAATGTGCTAATCCATTACCTTGAGTTGTCTTCACTCAGGAAAACATCCCTATCAAGTGTTAACCCAATAACTAGGACAGCTCTGAAGGCCAAGGGTCAGAGAGAGAGGATCACACTCTCCGGCTGCAGAGAGCACCCCAGCCACGGGCAAGGAGGCACGAGGTCGTTCGAGATGGGAGGATTCTAATCTTCAACTTTCTGATGAGATGGGATGCTTCTTCATCTTTCTGCTCGGTGGGCTCAAACAGACAACTCTGCAGGACGAGCGATGGCTTCAGACGCTTCTATAATACAAGGTTCCTTGTTTCTTGGAGGAGCAGATGTCTTCCTAACCTCTCCCATCACGGGGGGGGGGGGCATCTGGATGTGCCACTTGGAATACGCAGTTGCACTGCTCTTAAGCAGATAGCAGAAGGAATGCAGGCAGATGAGCCTGAATGAGCCACACAAAAGCAGAGCAATTGGGAGGGTGAAATATGGCGCTCTGATGAAGAAGAGTTTTGAGCCAATCAGCACCTCAGTGCTAATCTATACAGTATCAGGATGCCTTTACACACCAGACATTCTGTGTCATAAAGAGAGGAGGAGGATGAGTCAGGAGGACAGGTTCTTCCAGCTCTTGTACAAAGATAACATTTGAATTGAATGACCAGATGTTTACAGATGCACAATTAATGATAGATCTTATATTTCCGATGAACAGACATGTGTTAAATAGTGGTGATAAATATATTTTGTCAGATCAGATTACACTTTCACACTAAACAAAATAAATAAATTGATATTTTCAGATTATAAGGTATTGAACAATAAGGTATTTCTAATATTATAACAGATAATGTTACTATCCTTAATTGTCCAGCAATCAGGCTTAACAACACTACTCTTCAATGTATTATCCATGCACAGAAAGACCTACAATGATGTTTTAAATATTTAAACCTTCCTTTCCAGGTTTTACAAAAGTCTTTGAATATTTGCCTAACTTTTCCTTTTCAGATTGTTAAACGTTTTGAGAATTGTTTAATTTTCCTTTCAGATTTTGAACAATTTACTTGATTAAAATGAAGTTATTGATTTCATTAAAACTGAGTGCCTTACCCTTGATTTAATATGTAATGAAGTAAACGTAAAGTAATCCTAAATTGAGGACACTGTAATTTTGCAGATTACAAATTGATCAAATCACCACTGTGAATTGTATACCTTAACTGTGATTTTATACCTCAGCTGGATCTGTTAAGATCCTGATTTTATACCTCACCTGGATCTCTTATGATCCTATGTTTTAAATATATTTGACTAGTGATTGCCTTAAACTAAATCTTTAAACTGAAAGCTGGTTTTGATTTTATAGTTTGATAAGTGAGATCAGCTAATGGTTACATGTTAAAACATATTATTTTAAAGAAGATGTTTTTGCTATTATGCGTCTGTATTTTATGTGCGTTCATTATTGTGCTTTTGACAACAGATGATCCAAACATTGATGAGAGATGATTTTCTATTGTGATTGTCTGTGTCAATCATTGTGGTTGAATGTTTCAGTCTTATTCTACTTTGTGATGTAAATTGATGTACGGTGGGACCACACTCAACTCTGAAGACGCCTATTGATGTTGACTACTGTTGACATTTACGCCGAAGCCGAAGTCTGTTATCTGTCTTAAGGAATGGGAAGTTTCAGCTATTGCTGACATTATCAGTTTTATGACCGGTCAACTCTCGGTCACAAGAGCCATAAAGTCAGATAAGTGATTCAGTGTCTCCAGGTGTTCACAGATACCTTCCCCCAATATGTGGATTTGGCTCTCTGTAAACTGGTTAAAAGGTCTACCAAGATGAGAGAGTGAGCAGAATTGACATGACCCGTGCAGTCAGAACCTTTGGCTGCTGTGACTTGTGATATGAATTCTCCGGCCGATGCTTGTAATAAACTACCAGTGTTTGACATCAGAACTCCTGCTCGTCCTGTGTCTCCTTCGTGAGTCGGTGACTCCCACTGCATTGCTACACAGAAGTTTCCCTTACAGTTATTATTGTATTCACATTCATACAGTCCAAAACACAGAAAGAAAAATAATCTCCCGTCATCGGTCAAATGATTTCAGTAAATCTCAATAAAGACTTTTATTTTTTTATACCAAAATAGGCAGTTAGAGCAGGGATAAATATTATAATATGTAAGATATACAGTAGTTCTATCTCTGTAATAGATACTTTGTATTGGTGCTTTACTCTAACAGACAGTGGCATGGTCCCCTGGCTGAAACACAGCAGAGTCACACAGAGAGTCCAGTTCTGTCAACTGACAACACCACGAACAAGTCATGGAGGATTAACGATGAGATTTAGCCGGACATTCTGTGAGGAAATATTAAAGCTCTCAAACACATGTGGTCAAAACAATTTATTATTTGGGTCTTAAAGCTATTCTGATGACAGAACGGTCTTTCTGCACGTCTCTGGTCTCCAGTCAGCTTGGAGGAATCGCCTTGGGGGGTCGAGGGTGGAGATGAGTAGTGGGTGGCTGACAAGGTCCATACAGGGGCTGTGTTACCTAAAGCATCTCGGTATTCCAAATGTTCAATTGATAACAGATTTTGTCATCATGTCGGGTGAGCCCAGATGCGACATCACTCTCTTTTAGCTCTGATTTTGGTCACCACCTTCTCCTTAGTTAAATATCTGGCTCCTTTGGTGCTACATGCTCCATTATGTTTAGCAGCTCGATGCTAACTGAGTAAGCCTCTTGTTGGATTCTGAGCAGGTAGTGGACAGTGAACTTGTTTTAAGAAATAATTCATTAAGAACAGCTGTGTGCTGCAGAATAAAACAATACTATGAGAGCAGTGAGAATCGGCTAAGTGGTGGGCCAGATGGCTAACAGTTGAAACTGAAACTCACGTTAAGCTGTGGAGAGATGCAGATTCAGGTGATTTTTCTGTTAACCTTGTCATACGTTTTCACATTGTGTCATTTGATACATTCTTATTAGAAAAATATTGATATAGTCGCTTTATGTGAAAAGTCAAACCATTCATTTTTACCTGTTACCCAACAGAGGGTTGTGTCACAAGATTTTTTACAAGATGTGAATAATGATGCATGAGGATGTCCAAGGCAAGGGTCACATGAATGGTACAGCTGGTACAGATAGGGTACTTAGTACTGTAACGTTGCATATTGTAGATCCAAAAAGCAGGAGACAGGGATTAAAAATAAAAACACATTCTCACAATTGTTTCATAGTGGGCAAACGTAAGACGTAAAACACCTTTGATAAAACAACCTATTTCTGGATAACAGGTAAAAATGCAACACTTTGATTGTCCACCTGTATTATGGGAGCACAAAGGTCACAAATGCAATTATTTTCAGGTGATATTCATGCACACTGGGACTGAAGGCTCATACAAATCCAGCATGACAGAAACCTGTTTCAAAGAGACCTTATGCAGTTCATTGGTGGTCCTTGACAGTAGCGTTTACGAGAGGGTGATGAGTAACTTTAACTACAGTAGCTTGACATACAGCAAATGACCATAAAGAGTTCCCAGACCTTGTTTGCTAGCAATATAATCACTGAAAACTGAAAGGAGGGTGAGTGTGTCACACCAGAAACACTGGGACGGGTTAAGATGCTTTTAAGAAACCAGCCCTCATTAGTGCAACTACAGTAAGAAGGAGAGTTATAACATTGATGCTGATGATTATGATTTTGATGATCGTGTTGATGAAGAAGATGATACACTGATTGACGGTGGAGCGATCGACTAATGTCACAGTGTGAATGTGAAGAAAGAGAGAGAGGAGGAGGGGGGGAGGGGCAGGGGGGATGAACGCAATGAGTCAGAGAGGAGGAAGAGAGAGGGGGTGGCAGAAAAGCCCTTGCGAGACGAAGACTTCAGTGAAGTTTTTCAGGAACTGTATCAAACTGCGAAAAGTTAAATTACTTCACCATTACAAATGTAAACGATTTGTCAAATTTCTATTGATATAAATGACTCGTAGTTTTAGCCTATTCTTTGTCACTCGGTTTGAGCATTAAATAGGATTCTAAACTACTTTTTCTTCCCTTTGCTTCTTGTGTAAATTTGGTAGTAAAGCAGCCATTGATTCAGTTTGCGATCACTTGCCATATATTCTTATATCTGCACCTTGCAAAGTGGCACTAATGCACCCTTGTTGTCTGTTTTCTCTGGTGTACCATCAGCAGATTTGTTTTCATTTCAGACCAATAATGTGTCCATACCTTATTGAACTGTACATTTCCACTGGAGAAATGATGATACATTTTGTTCACATCACTGAGTGACTTGTTAACATATTCAAAAACAATTAACTGGATAAAAGTCTCTGTTTTGAGCATATTTTATATTTTAATTTCCCTTTTGGAATCTTTCTTTTTATTTTAGAAACATGGGTTTAGGGCTCCAAATGAACTCTAAACACACCACAAGCCTCAATATGTTATTTATTACAAAGCTATCTAATTTACCTTTCTAATGATTATTTAACTGCAAAACGCTGCTTCTTAAAGGAAATATTGTTTTCTTGTCTCCAATTGTACTTTAGTTCCATTTGGGTCTTTGATACCAAAATACTGATGCAGATTATAAAATCATCACCTCATGTATAAAGTCTGTAGTCTGAAGGGGAAGAAGGAAGAGGAGGAGGAGGATGAGGAAGAGGAGGAGGAGGAAGATATGGGATATGAGAGAAAGGTAGAAAAGACTTAACAGGAGCAATGCCATGAAAGACGGACAGTTGGGAAGGAGATCAAGATTTTGTCCCAAAAACATGCTCTTAAAGCTACAGCGTGCAAAAGTCTGCCTCTTGGTGACAATAATATCATTACAAACCCATACATGAATGCATTACCCTTCGTTAATATGAAAACAACAACGACAACAACAATAAGAAGAACAATAATGAAATCAAATCAGATAATGGTACATGTCGCCATGATTTAAACCACCTCCTTAAACATTAAGGAACTGAGCAGTAGGAAGATCCACCGATAGGCTGCTGGACAGACATTAGCCCCTCCCACTTCAGGAAGTAGCAGTCCCAGATAGTCCCAGCCCTGTCCGACTGTATGTGCTTGTGTAAATGTGTGTGTGTACTAATGTGTGTGTACAAGAGATAGATAGAGAGGAAGCAGGCTGGTAATAGAAAATGAGAGATGGAGGAAGTGTGGAAATAGTGACGTGTGTGAGGATGTAGTGTGTGTTTGTTCAGAGTCGCTCCTTGGTGGGCACCCAGATGTAAGGACCAGACTGCTCCTCAATGATCTGCTTCACCTGCGAAAACACCTCCTCTAGAGTCGAGCCATGGACGATACCTGCAGGCAGGTAGACAGAAATTAATATCCAAGAAGATCCTTTACGTAAACATATTACCATGGCAACCCACTGTGTGTGCTTAAAGGAAATATATATAAAAAGCTTTTATTAAATAAGGAGTAACCTTTAAAGGTCCACATCTGTGTATTTCATTGTGTGTAGGCCTATGTGTGTTATTTACATAAAGCGATGGTTCACCTCGAGACCTCTGTCTGAATCTCCTGTGCACAAACCCAGGGCCGCCCCTCCCTACAGGCCAATCACGCAGGCTGCATGGGGCCCCGCCTTGCGCAGGGGGCCCCGCCCAGAGGGCCTCAGCTGCTGTGCGCAGTTCTCCGCTCAGTTCTCCGCGCACCCCCCGCGAGAGTGAGAGGTGACAAGAGGAGCACGTCTGTAACCCGACACCGTTGCAATTAATTGACATCTGACCAATCACGGCTTTGATACGGCCACTAGTGCAGGTGAAGAGATGTCGGTGAAAAGACAGTTTCAGTCCGGCGCAAAAAACAAAGCATGAAGAAACTAGAGCATCACTCGAAGGTGGGTTATTGTATGAGTCAAATGTACAACTTGCGAATGTTGTATAAGTCAAATTGCCAATTGCCATCTTAAAACATCAGCTGCAATTCACGACATGAAGAAGGCAGTCTCTGCAAAGCATATAGGCTAATGGAGATGCAGTTATTTCCAGCATTCTTTATTTACCATTCATTCATTATGTGATGCCTTTGATCTGCTAATGTACAGGAGGAAGAGTGATAAATTGTCTGTCTAGTTGGCTTACATAACAGTTAAAGTTTACAGCCTAAAAAACATGGAGAATTGTTTCCCCTTTTATTCATTTTTATGTCAATTTGCACATTTCATGGTGATGCTCAGCCTCTCCCCTTAACTCCTAACAGTCATCATCATGTTAACCACAACACAGAGAAATACTGATAGAAATGTGTGTGTAGTTGTTGATACATTGCTGACAGAGGGAACTATGTTTGAATACAGATTTAAGAAATATCAGTTTTTGAGCATGTCATAAGCATGTTTTGTCTTGACTATATTACAACTATATTATAATAAAACAATATAGTATTTTTATTATTGAATTGATTATGATTATCATTATTAGTAGAAGTAGTTTATTTGCATTAATTATATTTTTATCTTTTTGAGGCTAGTATTTGGCAGGAAATGCAAAATTCACCTGTAAACCCATACTGAACGACATACATGCACATTTACCATTTACCTCACTGTATAAAAAAGTAACCGTTGATAATAATAATAATAAACAGGAATTATATTTGCAAAGTAGCCTACTTTGTTTCCAAAAAAAAAAAGTTCACTCCTGTCATTTGGGGGGGGGGGGGGGGGGGGCCTCATCTCACAATGTCGCTTGGGGCCCCAAGTTGGCCAGGGGCGGCCCTGCACAAACCGGTTATATTTAGACTGCAATGTGTCTCAGTTTACTCAATAATGTCACAGATTTTGCTAAAGAAAGGCTACAACATTTCTGGAAATACAATTATTCTCTTTCCTTCCCACAGTGAGATGAGAAGTTCAATAGTCCTCTACTAACCGGTGAAGAACTCTGTGAACTCCAGCTCCAGTTTGACGGCTCTTTCGAAGGTCTTCCTCGCCTGCTCCTCATTGAAGCGCTTGTTCATCTCTCTGGAAAGACAGACATGAGGTGTCCATATTAAAGAACAGAATATAAAACATTGTTTAATTATTTCATTCAACTGCTGTCAAATGATAGGCTGATACTGTACCATCTCACTGTAGTGATCCTGATCAAACAAGAGTTAAAGGTCACCTATTCTGCAAAATCTACTTTTTCATGTATTTTATACATAAACGCCTCTGTGTAAAGAGATTCTGAAAGTTTCAGGAAAAGTTATTCGTTCTCTTTCTGTCCTGATCCATTTATATAAAAAGTTAAAAACCTTTCTGAAAATGAGCTGATCAGATTTTGGCCACTTCATGATGTCATAACGATTGTTAGCCAATCACCAACCAAGATACACCCCCTCCCCCCACCTTATCACCTGAATCTCCTCCTAGAGCACCATTGTGTTCTTTCTAACCAAATCTCTCTCAGAGGGGCGTGGGGAGGGGCTCCTTATTTTCATCTAAAGTAACAGACAGAGAATCAGCACTTTTGAAACAGGGCTAAAACAGAGGGGATTATGGGATGCTACAATGATCTGTTTGGTGTTTGGAGCCAAACACTTCAGAGACATGTTCTGTATATATCTGAGACCTATAATAAATTGATGAAAAACAGTATAATAAGGGACCTTTAAGTTACAGTATCTTTAAAGGTAGCTGGAGACACATATTGCATAAACAAAAACAAATGTCCTGTATGATTGCATGACTTCTGTTTTTATACAGACTTCATAAAGTAAATGTCATTTATTTAACAGGTCCGTCATTAATAATCTAAATGTGATGTTTCTTACAGGATGTTGTCGACATTGCATGGTCTGATGAAGACAGCGATGGGATGAAGGCCTGCCAACTGGAGACGCTTTATCGCATTCCCTGATACATCCAGTATGCAGTGTTTACCCTGTAAGGTGACATACAGGAAGACATTATGTGTTACTCCTCTGTTTCTTCTGTGTTGTTTTTATCATCTCTTGAACTCACCTTATCAGCGACCTCTTTGACCGACTGTATGCTGGTCCCATACAGGTGGTTGTTGTACTGTCCTGCCTCGATGAACTTGTGTTCCTGGATCTCCTGCTCCATGACCTCTCTGGAGGCCATGAAGTGGTAGTCTCTGCCGTCCACCTCGTAGTCTCGCCGCGGCCGCGTTGTGTCTGTAAATCATATATTTGAAACACATTAAAACTCTATTATTTAAGACCAAATATAATGTTGATTTCAGTTTGTCCTCAATTACCAGGGGATTACTGAAACCACCATGAATTAAAGAAATTGTAGAAATGAATCTAATCTGAATTTTGAAACCTTCCTTCCCTCTCTCTAAATATATCAAACATTAGGAAGTGATGCTCCTGACTACCATTCAAGTTTAAGAAGATAATATTTGTTTTAAACAATTCAAAGCAATAAACAACAGCAACAGGCTCTTTAACCAAGTATGTTACCATATGTTAACAGGTAAGATAGCTGTTCACTTCACACTATGTATATTTTCTGCTATTTTATTTCTATTTGAGATGTTTACATTTTCGATTGTTTAATTCTAGGCTTTTAACTGTCTTATGTACAATGCCTTGTCTTTTGCTGCTGCAAAGCAAACATTTCCCAAATTGGTATAAATAAAGTACTTCTTATTTTATCTTAATCCTCAAATATTAGCAAATTTAACTTTTTCAAATATTGATGTAACTACATACACATCGATATGTTGTATACATATTGCAAATCAAAACCTTTATTCACTACTTATTACCAAAAATCGTAGTTCTATCTCCGGTAATCATGCATTCAAATGTCCCACCACGAACTTCCGGGGAACTATTGAGTCTCCCTGAACCACGTGACGATCAAGCATTTTGGTTCTCCGCTGTCGTAACTCTTCTCTCTATATGGCGCTGGTTTTATGGTGTCATTTATTGTTATGACCACATTTACCTGAACTCACCTCACTCCCTGTATTCCTATAAGTCACATGTCATCATATATTACAGCATTATAAACATGCTTTTTAAAAGTTAGACAAATCTTTGCTTGAGTGCTAAATTTCAGTTTTATTGAAGAGTTCATCGCTGGGATTCATCATAAAGTTAGAACACTCACGTGGGACGCAGGAGCCAAACTTGTCAGGGAACTCGGAGATGAGGTCATCGTTGATCCGGTCTTTCATTGGTCCAAGCACTATGACTGGTCGGGTGTAAGTAACTGGGATAAGACAAACAGAACTAGGTTAATACACGCACAAAATGACACTAAGAAAGTTTGTTAAAAAAATTGCATGTGAAGATAAACAAATCATTTAACTAATGAATGCCTTTAGGAACCAAACTTCACAAGACAGTAAAATAATAATAAACAAATGAGTTACTGTGATGTGAAATTGAGCACTGACCTTCCAGTTGCATGACAGGCTGGTATGTGAGGAGGGTCTCCTCCTGGCCGGCTGATTGGGAAGAAATGATGGACACGTTAAGAGGCAAAGTGGGAGGGATCATCAACATGAAAACACCCCCGACCCTTTTCTACTTCTGGATTCATCTTCTTCAACAGCTCTGGCAAAGGAGACTGGAGAAGCAGAGGTAACTTGTGCTCACAAAAACACAAACACTATGCACATAAGAACAAAGAAATCACAGCACACAAATACACATGTGCGTGTACTGTATACACCAGAAGCACACACAGAGAAATACAACACACACAAATAAAAACTGAACAAGAAAAAGCAAAGAAGAAGAGAAGAGAGACTTAGAGAAAGAGAGAAAGAAAGCCGTAGAGGAGAGTCTTGACTTACAGGAACTACTCTCACTATCGCTGGTGCAAGAGGTTACCAGCTCTGGAAGGACAAGACAGTCAGAGTCAGCAACACAAACACATACAAACATAAAGATACAGACAAACGCACACAGACTTGCATTGTTTAAATGTCAAACAACCAATGACAACCTTTCTCTTATAAGAGAAAACATCAGCCACACCATATTCATCCTTCAGTGTCTGTTTACTCATGGTGTTCAGGGGAGCAGGAGGCCAGAGGATATTAACCTATAAGTATGTTTACACCTGAACATAACAGATATAACAGTTAACCACTTCCTTTCTTGTTCTACTTTGTAACATTCATAAAGGTATGGCAAAGTCAACAGGATTACTCTATATCCAACATTTGGGTTGAAATATTCAGCTTTTGCGATCTGTAATGGGTACTCCAGTCATTTAGTGCTGCACTTCCATAAATGTATGGCTTTTTGTTGAAAGTGTTATTATCACAAACATTTGGTGGAAAGTAGATTAGTTCGGACTTGACTAAAGTACAATTCTGGGGTATTTGTACTTTATTAGAGTATTTTAAAGGTGGGGTAGGTCATTTTGGAGAAATCAGCTCGAGTACGCTAGAATTTGAAAATACACAACTGGAACAAATCTGCCACTTCCTTACAGAGCCCCTCCTCCAACACACATGACCAATGAGGGCACGAGATAAGTTTGTGCACAGATGGAAGGCTGACAGGCAGGTAGGCCATCCAGTTATTTTAGCCGGGCCGGCTAAAATGATTGGTCGTGCTTTTTACAGTATTACGGCTTCCACAGATGACATTTTGTTATGGATTTTTTGTCAAAGCACTTCAGATATTCATTGCTATCGGGATGTTAAGAGCATTCCATGGAATATAACAAAAAGTGTATCTCGAGCCGGTTTCTCAAACTTACATACCCCACCTTTAATGTTATGCAAAATTCCTCTACTGCACTAGACTTCATATAAAAATATTGTATTTTTGGAAGTAACTAGCTACTTCACAAAGGAACATTTACAAAGTACGAAGCATTGTCAAAAAGATAATTTGTTTACCTTGAGTAAAAGTAATACTTTAAGGATATATTGCTGACCAAACTTACATATATTTGCTAAAGTACAATTTAAATGTACTATTTTTGAAATGTGGTATTGCTTTTGCTTAATTCAATGATCTGAATGCTTCTTCTTCTACTGATCAATTGCTTTTGTTCACTATTAAACCATTTCCCCTATATTTTCTAGCAAAAAACATTAAACCATTATTGGCTGGCTGGACTAGATCTATACAATGTGTATGTCAATACAAATTGCAAACATTTTTTTTATGAATTTCAGTTGTTAGACCCACCCATACTGTGGGTACTAATCTATTACAGTCAACACTAGGGATTGAGGATGAGATAAAGCTACATTAGTGTCAGTGTGGTTTGTGAAGAATCTGAAGTGACATATACTATATACTATAGGGGAGGCGTGTGGTGCAGTGGGTTGTGAGTTGGTATTCGGATCAGGAGGTCACAGGTTCAAACCCCACTGCAGTCAGCATGTTGTTGTGTCCCTGAGACACTTCACCCCAAATTGCTCCTGTGGGGATTGCCCACAGTATTGAGTATGTAAGTCGCTTTGGATAAAAGCGTCTAACAAGTGACATGTAATGTAATATACTGACCAGCAGGTGTCACTGAGGGAGAGAATACATACCTTTATCATCCTGATCCTGCAGAGAGACAGAGAGAGAGAGAGTTATTATTCATGATAGAATATGATCTGACGTGAAGATGATCATAACAGTATCTGACTGTTATCAGCAGAGGCCCTTTTTGAAAGCTCATGGGTTCTTTATTCCACACACACACGCTCACACACACATTTAATAAGAATCCTTTGCAGTCTTTCTCAAAGCACGGAGCCAGGGGATACAGCACGCATGTGTGTGTGTCTATCTGTGTGTGATCTTTTTTTAATTAGCAGCTCTTCACCGTGCAGAGTAGCTGATTGCAGACTTGCTGATTCACAGTGTGAAGAAAACAGAGAGCGAGCTGACAACACACTGATATCAATAGCTTGTGTTAGACTGGTGTGTCAGCTCCCATCCTCACGCCGTGTGAAGTGTGATTCAAGTCTCGTCATCGCCTCGCTTTATTAAACTCAGCCTGGAAACTTTCAAAGCCTGAATTTCAAAACAACTTGAATTAGTCTCTAATTGATGGTTAACAGCGCTACACTTCTCATATAAACAGGTGGTACGGCAGTCACGGGCACAAGAGACTTTTAGACAGCTCATTCTCTAACTAACCAATTTGTTGTATAAAATCCCATAATATTGAGTGCTAATACAAGTATTCATGGAACCATATTGCAGAATCTGAATGAAATGAACTGAAATAATGAACTGTCGGTTTATTGTGACCAGAATAAATGAAGCTGCTTTTGGAATGACACTGTAAATATAACGTTTTATGTTACTTAAGAAACGTTACCTTTTACTTTATACTTTGCTACATTAATCTGTTGGCTGTGAAATACACTTATGATTCATTAATACTTCACACTTATTACCATTTGTTTTATTCTATTCAGCTTTTTCGATTTGTTTGTTGATTCCTGGAGCAAGTCATAAAAGATTGTGTATATGAGAAATTATGGTAATTTAATTACATTTATTTATGTGTTTTGCTCAACGCTCAGACAGCTCGGATGAAGAATGGTTGAACGACTCTGTGAGGCAGTGTTCTTTTCTACTTTTATTTTTTTATAGCATTGTTAGATTTATTTTAATAGACAGGTGGAAAAATACTTTCCTCTGCAAATAACCCGATGCCTATAAGTTACTTCTTCACTTGGTTTAAACTTTAACAGCATCTCAACACATCATCATTACAGTCTACGTTTAGACTGGAAGCTCATTGGAAAGAGTTTCATGTGGTACTCAAGGAAATAGGAGCACACTCCTAAAAGAAGTTTAACTCCTTTTAAGCAACAACTTTCAGTCTTAGGCTGTAATATGTGTTCTACTAATATGGGTTTCTCTTTTGAGAAATTAACCTCATGCTGGTTAGTGCACCAACAGTAATACGCTAAACTCTTAAATGTGCCTTTGGTGACCTTTGTTATCACCAAACATCTTTTAAAAAGGTCCACTCACCGATCTGTCCTGAGACCTCGCCACTCTGACCGTCTTTAACCTCGACCTCTCCTTCTTCTCTGCCCTGTGAGATGAGAGGACATGAATAGACATTAAGAGAAATACAGACACAACACACAAACATAAGAGTTTGAATAAAAGCAAATACAACTAAATCTGTTGGTTTTTCAGACATAGTCTAGGAAGAGCTTCTTTGATTATTGTTTAGTGAAGAGTACATTTGAAAAGATGTATTGAGAAGGCAATTTGAGAAATGGAAATAAATCATCCATCAATGTTGTGACTTCCTTCAGGCTTCTCAGACATGATACGGCTCATTGCATTTCTTGTGAAACACTGCCTTCACAACAATAACTGTTCACAGTCAAATAATGGGGTATAACCAGGCGAATGTGAACTCCATTTGATCTCCTCTAATGTCTGGAAGATCAAACCTTTCATCACAGAATCGCTTTAAAACATCATCAAACTGCACATTTACTTCAATCTCAGACTGATCCATAGAAATATAGAAATATCACCTGACAGTCCTTTATCAAAAAAGTAATTCTATAGCTCATATTAAAACATTTTCTTGATCTATCTTGTCTATTAGCAGCATATGAGACTATGATATTTTGATAAGTAGTGACAGTCATCTGATTTAATTTGTGGACTTTAATATTCAGATATTACAAAGGAACGGATATGCTGTCCAATAATAATAATGTGATTACCTTATTACAAATGTAAAGGGATGAGAGTCAGACATGACCAAAATATCTTAGTCTCAGGGTAGAACATCTACGTTCTCCTAGAAGGCCCTGCTTGCTCCAACTAAAGAGACCGTTTTGCCTTCCAGTTTAAATGTAGATGTGTCACTCTCGATACAGGGTCACTTCCTGCTGGCAATCACATTCAACACTAGAATTTCAAATAAGGTGAATCTCCACCGTCTCAGTTTCTCTGTAGAAGCCATACTTTATAATTAAGGCTGTGTTTTTATACACAGTCTTGAATAATGCAGCTTTGAGCCTCCTAATGCCTGTCAACATCTGAACATACTGAAAACAGAGCAGCAGCCCAGAGGAAATGACAATATTTACTGGAGGAACGACGTCAGACTGCAGGCTACTCTTGGGTTTTAATGTCTGCTGACAGCTCGGCTCTGAACATCACCTTTATGTGAGCATGTTGACTCTACTGCCAATACAGATGAGTCGTCTTTGTTTCTCAATACTCTCCTCTCTAATCTCTTTCACTTTCGTGTGATCAGAGTACAATTCCAAAGAAATGGCTATTATTCTCAAGAAGGAGAGGAGAAGAGAGAAGAGGAGCAGGACAAGGAGGAGGTGAAACAGAAATAGGAAGATAAGAAGTAAGATGGGAGGAGATGAAGACAAGACAAGGTGGACGAGGAGAAGAAGGGCTGACAGAAAAGTGGATTACAAGTACACAATTTATCTCTGAATTGTAGTAAAGTAGAAGTACAAAGTAGCATAAAATGGAAATACTCAAGTAAAAAGAACAGAAGCATGATGAAAGGACTGAAGTGGAGATGGTGTAAGACCAGGGGGGAGGGGGGAAAGGAGAGGAGGATTAGATACAGAGGAGGAGAGCTTCAGTACGGATGTAAGGACAATGAACAGTGAAGAATTGGAAGATGAGGAGAAGGTCGACCAAAAGGAAGAGGAAAGGAGGAGAAAAACAAGAAGGGAGAGGGGGAGGGAAGATAACTTGGGGAGAGGGAGAGACCATTATACCTTATATTATATATATATAATATTCTGTTATTATTTTACCCCGATGCACCCACTGTTAACAACCTGCCACTACTCTAACACCTCCGTGTATTGATACTCCGCCCTCTGACCCCGCGTCTCTACATCCATCCCTCACGCTCCTCACTCCCACTCATCCTTGTCGCCTCTAATTTCTTTCACTTATTCACTGTCGTCACTGCCTCCCTTTCTTCCCTTCAACTCCATCACTTTCAGCATCCTCCACGTCATGGACAGACCTGTTCTAATGTGTCTCTTCTTCCCACCTCAGAAAGCTATCAACATCTTTCTGTCACCTCCTCTGCAGGAGATGAGAGGGAAGAGTTTCTACCTCAGGTTTAAATTCAGCACATTCTTCATAGTGATGATGTTTGCAGTGCTATGAGCCAGCAGCAAAATAACACCCCGACGTAAACTGAAACCAATTTGAAACCCTCCACCACCCAGAGCTGTCCTGGACAGGAACAGGAGGCAGAGGAGAGGACATGGGAGACAGAAAGAGAAGAGGAGGAAAGAAGGAGAGGAAGAGGTGCAGGGTGAAAGAGAAAGCAGAGGAGGATAAGGAAGAGGGGGCGAGAGTAGAGGAGATAAGGAGAAGGTAGAGAGGCGAAAAAGGAGGTGTAGACACAAGAAAAGAAGAAAGTGGAGGAGATGAGAGAAGGAGATAAAGAGAAGTTGTATGATAAAAGGAAGAGAGGAATAGAGTAGAAGGAGAAAAGGAGGAATAAAGAGTTGCATATACAACAGAAGGAGGAGGAGAAGGAAATGGTCATGAGTAGGAGGATGGGGAAGAGAAAGGAGATAAGGAGCTGAAAAGGGGAGAATAGGAAGAGTACAAAGAGGAGAGGAGGTGAAATGGGAGAAGACAACGAGAGGAGAAGGCGCAGGTAAAGGATGTGAGTGAAGAACGAATAGTAGGAGAATAAAAGAAAGAGAATGAGGACCAGGAAAAGGAAAGGTGAGAGACGAGGTGAGAATAATGAGAGAAGGAAGAGGAGAAAAAGAAGGAGAGAAGGAAAAGAGGAGGGGAATAAGAAAGGATTACAAGGTGGAACGAGGTGGAGCATGAGATAAGGACCGACTCTTGTGGAATTGATTCTGTGGTGGAGAGGAGTATGTACAGCATCGATGTTTGGCGCCAAGGCTCTGACCTTGATGCTCCCTCCTGAGGCTCAGGACAGCAGGAAGTGGGGACAACAATACTCACTTCCCCAGTGGGAAATACAGGTTGATTCTAGGATGGAGCTGGGACTTAAAGTATTTACAGACTTAAAATACTAGCAGAATAATCAAAGAACTGACGGCTTCAGTACATCATGACTAAATAAAACAGTGAGTGCAGGAACAAGAGTTGACTGCCTAAAGCTCGCAGACTTCAGTCAATAATATCAGAGAGCCACTCCCGACCCAAACCCTTTGAACTCTGACCTCCTGCGGCTGGGGATGACGCCGACTTCAGGGCAGTTTGGAGGCGGGGGGCTGAGGTGGCGGGCGGGCCACCACTCCTCTTCGCCAGCGCTGGTCACGTGGAGGACATCCCCGAAATGAAAGGGCAGGACCTGACTGGGCGCGCTCAGATCGGACACACTGCCGTCGTAGTCGAACAACGCTCTGCAGACAGACAGAGAAGCAACAATTTTAGATTTTACACATTTTGTCAAAAAGAAAAAAGATAAATGCTACTTCAGACTGACAATACAAGCTGGAGTCGACACCATTAGAAACATTAGACAGTCATTTAGTGAAATAATAACTTCTTATTTTGCATTGTCGTAATGAAACAACAAAAATATTTTACAGGAATAAATGTAAGATTCCCCATTCTATCTTTATTCCAAATTGGAAAAAAAGAGACAATGTAGTTGAATGCCTCACATTACTTTTGACAACAATAATCAAAGCTAAAAATACATGAACTGACGAAACAATACAGAAAAACAGCCAGATGTGTTGTAGTGAGTGAGAGACAAAACAGCTGAGGACTGCTTTCCAACACCATTATGTATGACCTTGTCTGTGTGCACATGGCTGTACTGTATGTGTGTGTGTGTGTGTGTGTGTGTGTGTGTGTGTGTGTGTGTGTGTGTGTGTGTGTGTGTGTGTGTGGTGTGTGTGTGTGTGTGTGTGTGTGTGTGTGTGTGTGTGTGTGTGTGTGTGTGTGTGTGTGTGTGTGTGTGTGTAAATGTAATTGTACACATCTGTCTGTGTGCAGTCTGTTTGTGTCGATTGTGTATGTTTGTGCCCGTGTCTGAACAGTGACCACAGTTCCAAAACCCCATCTAGAGGGAAAAAGACCCAGGAAAGTAGGCCAGCAGTGTGCATGAGTGTGTGTGTGTGTGTGTGTGTGTGTGTGTGTGTGTGTGTGTGTGTGTGTGTGTGTGTGTGTGTGTGTGTATGTGTGTATGTGTGTGTATGTGTGTGTGTGTGGTGCAAAGGAACTAGAGCTGAAATAACTGGCATCCCCCAAAGTCCCTACTGCCTTCATCAATAAAACAGAATATAGACAGGGAAGAAGAAACCGAGAGAGAATCAGACACAGAGGTAGACACACAGAGAGTCTAACACCAGTATAAAAACTACCTCATGTTTTATTGATTAAAAATGAGGAAGGTAAGACCTCCTCACGAGACATAATATATTTAGCTGCCTGCTAAAATGTGATTTTGTGATATTTAAATCTGACTTCAAACTGGTGGAAGTGTATAATCAGGTAGCATCAGGTACCATGTTTGGTAAGATATTATTTTACAGCTATGTTTTTTCCTGTTGATGTCTTGAACGTTGTCTTGGGAACATGGGGTCAGGTAATAATAAAAGTGGAAAGAACAGCAACAACCCAAATGTTTGTCTTGACATGCCTTCCAAAAAGTCACATGAAAGCGTTTTGGATGTGATTCAGAGATGTTGCCATGATGACATTATTTGACTGTTTCTTCAAGGTAAATCACTGTTGGGTTGTCAGTTGAATATACTGTAACTTCGTTGTTGTTGTTGTTGCTTTAGGGCATTTACAGAAACGGTTCATGCCATTGTTTCATTTTGAAAGGACAGCTATAAAAGAAAGAAATATTTGTAGGAACGTAACCTGTACTGAGTTTTGAGTTTATCAATTTTGCAGGAACTTCCTTTAAGGAAATGCTCTAACAAAACCTAAGTACATATTTATTCATTGTTAATTTATTATTATTATACTTTTTTTTTATTTTTACAAATGTTGAATTATAGGCTTTTGTGGACACGTTCCCATTTTTTCCAGCTGAATAAAATGTGTAAACATTTTTTTTTTTGTGTACCTATCATTGGTCCCAGAACACATTCACCATTCCAGGAAACGCTGCGTAAATGAACCAGTGTTACAAAATCATTGTAATCTACAATTGTGCAGGCTTTTTTATTTGTAAATAAGACGTATCGTGAACAATATGTCTGTCTTCTATGAGCAGAATTGATAAAGCAGTTGCTGTGGAACTGTATCAGCGGTTACACTGATTAGTGAGACATTGGGGTCTGCAGAGGGATGGGGAGCAGGTCAACAATAATGTAATAATTTATTATGATAAATTGTAATGTTCCCAAATAGTGAAATACATGAGAGAAGGAGACAGCATGTGAAAGGTTACAGTATATATCCTTCAGGGCATATAAAGTGCAGGCTTACATTTACCTTAGTGGGTCCACAGATACATACAATAGTAAGTAAAGGGCAGCTGTCAGATTTGAGTGTATACATAACCTTATAGAATAAGATATGGAGTAGAATAGACAAGAAAGCTCTCATTGGGAGAGTTTCACACATCCCCTAATGATTTTTGCAGCAACCAGGTCACACTAATGTGTAGATGTATTAATGGCCACAGCTATGTAAATGTACCTCTAAATCAATTACCTGCTCTCCACATTACAGTTGTTTTAATCATGTGGGAGGGACGCTATCTAATTACCCGAGTGAGGGAACACACAGTAATTGCTGGATGTGTAAAGTAGTAAGAAATGTGTTAAATAGGGGCAGGGCTGAATTTACATTAGTGGGTCCACAGAGACATAAAGTAAAGGGCAGCTGTCAGAAGAGAGAGTATACATATCCTTCATTTCTATCATTTTGTCACCAAGAGAGAAATATACAGAAAGAAATAAGAGCAGCAGTATTTTCAGAGGACCACAAATCCCAAAAGGACTTTTTTTAGACTACTTTAATGGATCGTTTATTATTTAAGGCCACATGCAAAGGCAACTCTAAATCAATTACCAGCTCTTGGTACTCAAGGCGTTTTAATTCCTATGTGAGACCCTCTAAAATGTAATTACTCGAGTGAAGGAACACACGGTAATCACCGCAGAGTGTAACAGAAACACCTGGCCATCTTTTACACCTTTTCCCAGCGAGTGCTGTGGACATTTTAAACACTTATACACACAGTATATTTGTGTTGCTTTTCGCACAGCCAGCAACCTATAGTCCGAACTGCAATGCGGTTCTCTCTAGGTTTTCACCAAATATACTTGTGAGATTCTTGCATGTACATGCACTTTATTTCAGAGGCGTGTATGCTAGGTAAATACCTAGAATGCTAGTTACTGTATGGCAGTGATTCATCAACTGGGGCTGGGACCTTTTTGTAATGCACCATTGGTGGAGGTCTGCCTTCTCAGGGTGACATTCTAGTTGATACCGTTTGTTTAACATTTAGAAACTGTAAATTGGATACAATATATTATATTCTCAGACTGAGGGTCAGATCTCATTCAACAAAACTCACTCAAAAAATCTCGGGAGCAATTTTAAAACCATAATATTCAGTTTGGAGAAGCAAATGTTCCTGGGCATGGCGGCTACTTAAAATGCATTGAAATTGATATCTAGCACGGAGTACTGCAGAGATTGGTATCATTTTTCAGCGACCAGTGAGA